ACAGGCGTTGGCGCTAAGTAAGTGGAAAAGGAGACAAAATGGATCGCAAATTAAGGCCAAAGAGACTGTGCCACTGTATGGTGGGAGAAATCGTCTCTTGTACAACTTTTGATCAGTTCCACTACCCAAGTGTTTCCATCGAGTGCGAATACTTCACTGGCTATTGAACTTCTGTTTCGAATTCTGCTGCCCCATGACTCATGTACATCAGCCCCGTCAGATTTTCTTCCCCACTCTGAAGACCATCAGAGAAATCAAAGAACGGCATATGAAAATCGTGTCCGAACCTTAGCTGAACAAACCTCAGTGCTGATCAAGACTGATATCCAAAATCTTGACAGACTCTAAACTAAAAACCTACTTGGTGATCAAAATTACAAACAAATCTGGAGTTCTATGCAAACACTCCGTGGAACAAAAGTTAGACTGCGTGGGCCTCAATCCACAGCAGGTGAACTCAACTGCATATTTTTCCCATCGACTCAAACTGAACTATCGAAATCGTATTTTCAATTACTTGACCGTCGTGATGTTTTGCGTATCAATTCTAATCAGGTGCAAGTACAGCTGATCAAATCAAAGTCTTCCGGTCCTGACGGACTACTGGTAGAGCGTACTTAACTGAGTTTCTTGGAAAAACCTCTGAATCGCTGCTGATCATTTAGGAGTGCCCTAGGGAGCAATACTGTCTTTTTCTCTTTTTTCTTTTTATATGCCAGACCCACCCATCGACCTGGATGATTTTAGCTAATGCACTGATGATGTCAACGTGGGTTCTAAATTCATAAGTGATTTCGGTTTCTCACAGCTTCAAACCAGTTTATTTATCTTAAGCTTATGGTCTTCGTATACCAAATTATCTATCAACGCCTCTAAATGTAGACCCGACACCTACTCGCTAGCCAAAGGAGATAGACTGCATTCTTTTGAAAGAAATTGCTCTGTACTATGTGTCAGTAACCAGTCTGTTTCCATAGTATGTTCTTCACAATGTCTTGGTGTTACTATCTGCTATTATTTCAAGTGAACTTCACATTTTAGCTCTACTTTTAAAATGATTCCACGATTGTTTCCTTTTTCCGCTCAGAATCTTTGAAAGTTCCACTGTGCTTACTCATCAGTTTAGTATATTATTTTCTCTTATTTACTTTACTGCTCTCCGGTTTTATCTGCCGATCTTAGAGTTAAAAGGCAATTCTACACCGATCAACTATAATTATTTCACCCACAAGCGGTATTTCCTGTATACACTTACTCAATTTTATCGCCTACAAGCACTTTACCTCTTGCAAAAACTTCTGTAACAATGTTCTATTAGACATCACTTACGCAAATTACACATTGAACTTAAACAGTTTGTCCACTTCCGTAACCAAGTCGCGTTAAAATGCTGTGTACACTCGTACCACTGCCTACTGTTTGTCCCTTATTCATATCTTTCGAGATTTCTATCACAGAAAGCACTAATCAAAAATCCTAGGTAAATGATCTTTATTTTCACATTGTTACGCAACCTTCCTCTTGGGTTAACCATGCTGTATTTCCCTTTTAATCTGTGACTGTATGTAATAAATGATCTGCCCTGATGTGCAAGAAGTAAAAATTCATCCATTAGTATAAATAAAACAATTTGTACTTGACTTCGGGCGTGAATATCTTCAAATGCTTCGCAGCAGTCGAAAAACAGACCCTTGCAGCTTTACCTGATCGTGTCAGCTGCTTGCAGGGAAAATAGTTAGTGGACTTGCCACCTGGCTACCACGTTTCGAGTCCGATCCCCGACTGGTGCGATAGTTTCGTGTCACTGATGATATCCGACTGAGATGAAATGGCTGCACAGAGTTTAACAGTCTTTCAAATCGAATACTACTCGTTTCTACTACAAAGAAAATCATCCATGACGCACTTTGCTACAGATAAATTCGTTAAATATCGTTAATATTCATTATTTGCACCGTAATTAGGCGTCACCAAATTTGGCCAGCTTAGAGCAGAACTACAATCACGTATCAAATACTAGAGTGATTGTTTTGTTAATATTACATTATTATAGGTGACCTTTATTCGTGATTTGCTTAACCAAAGTAGAGTCAGTTATCTATTTCTATAGGCGATTAGATAGTTTATTTTAAATTGGATACGTTGAACGGTGGTTGTTACTGGGCCTCGACAACCCGACATGCATGCCAACAATTGTGGACAACTAAGCTGACGCTTTTAAGAGCACCAAGGCTCTTTCGACAAATGTCCAGATAGTCCACGTTGTCTTCTTGGAACGTGTAATGATCATGCGCAGATGCTTCTGAGATCCGCAAAAGCAAGAATAATTGGGCTGCTCAGATTCCCCCTTGTTAAAGAACCATGGCATGTGACGTTATGAAGAACAGGAAGTTCTATTAATCACATGATGAATTTCGTCATTTATATAACAAATGAAACGTAAACTGGAAAGATAGGGAGCACTGTACAGCTTTTTCGACTTGGCTGGGCCTTATCAATGGTGTGAATCGACCGACCTAACCAGGGGTTGAACCCCCGGGACCTCACAGATAGGACAGGATTGTACCATCCACTCAAACATCGACCAGCTGGCCAGGCTGTTTTTCGTTTTGCCCTTAAGTTTGAAAGAGAACCGAAAGTCTATTCCCCAAACCAGACCTGACGAACAGTTGCATCTGATATCGTTCAACATTTGGTTTTCTATCTGAGGACGACCTGGATATCAGAGGTTCTGTGTGAAGTTGAACAGATCACTCACGCAATCGGGAACATATTTTCGGCAAACAGTGCCAAAGTAGTTGGTGTGTAAAATATCACAGGTGATATCCGCAAACATCAGAAAAGTAACGGTACCGGTTGCAAATAGCGGCTCTAAAAAGAGTACTGGAAATATCTGGTTATAGCCAATTTTATATTGTCGTTCACATGTAGTTGTATTTGAGCATCAGTCAGCGCAAAAAAGAATGCAACGTTGTTGTGATCAACCGACGGAAACTGTTATAAATTCAACAGTCTGACATTGATTGCTTCATGACAGGTTCCTGGTTTTCAGCTAAATGACGGTGGCTTGGGTTAGTGCCTACGATAGAACAGTAGATATACATACGCTTAAATAGTTGAATTTTCTAGGTGAAGATTGCACAAGAATTGTCCAACGAAGGGGGGGAGTGTTACAGCTAGGTATTATAGGGGTTAGTGCCGCACCCGCTCTTGTCCCTAATGTATATTATTACCTTACCTCAAAAGTTAGATTTCTCTTGTCTCATGTAAACTGGAGACGTAAACCTAATTGGAAGCCTTAGATGTAAGTCCATCCAGATTCTCTAACCAGAACCTTTGAATTGTCCGTATTGTGGGATTTACCACTAATTATCAACACAGGCTAACGACTAATCGATCAGCAGGAAGAAAGCTAGGGTATATGTCTAAGCTTATGAGGTGCTGAGGGAAGGATAGTTGCTGTGAGTTAAGCCAGAGATCTGAGAATTAGGGTCCCGATGGACTCCAAACCTAGACGCAGTAGAAGCATGTAGCCTAAAAAGCACTGAAAACTGTCTACCAATCGATGAAAGTAGT